GTTGTCGCTGCACTGACAAAAAATCTGTTTAAACTAGATAGATATTAAAGATAAAATATATTAAAAAGATACATATTTATTCACCTAAATTGAGCTAGAGATACTGAAGAAAGAGCTGAATATCCTTGAAGGCAGCTTTTCTCTTTCAACAACCTTGTGAATTTATGCCAAGAACACATTTTAAATTAATTTCCTTTCATTTCATACAAAATAAACTAAGTACAAATATAATTACCTAATGAAACTTTATAGTTTCTCTCAACTTTTATGTATATACATTTTTTTACAGTGCCAGAACGCCTTTCTTGCGCTTTGGCTATAAAACTTTTATAGTAAAAAGTAAATGCCACAAATGAGCAATCGAAAATTTCGCATTATAATGCAAACTGTGTGCATTTTCGGGGTTATTGTAGTCGGCTTTTTGGTCCTTGGATCCTTTTTTTGTTAGGGTGGAGGGAAAAAGACAAACGCATACCAGAGCAAAGGATTCTGCAGGGAGGAGCAGGAAGAAATCTCCAAACCAAGGCAGTCGTCATGGTCGCCGGGACTTGTTCTCTCTCCCTCTGTCTCTCGCCTCTATTAATAATAATAGAATTTTTGGAAATTTTGCAGCGAGACGAAGAGGAAAAAGGAAAAGGAAGTTGCCGCGATTTTTGCATTTGACAACGAAAACGAAATGAACGAGTTGTATGTTGTTGTTGTCTGTTGTTGTTTTGGGTCACCATTCCATCGGGGACTGCATTGCATTATTCAGCGACTCGTCCTGTGTAGTCCTGTATCGTCCTGGCTGACAATAATGCTAATAATGATAATGATTATAATGCATGAAACAAAATATACCCGGAGATGCCTTGTCTTCTTTGTCTATCGAACCATCCACAGAACATGGACGTCGTCGTCCTCCTCCGCTGTTCTTTTGGCATCTAATGAACTCCTTTATGGCAGCTCCATTCGCATAGCTAATTCCGAGTGTCTATAGCATTCAGTCCGAGCCCATAGTCTGACATCCCCACTCCCACTTCCAGTCCTCGTCAGAGTTTTCCCCCTTTTAGTTTCCAGTTTGAATGCAAATTCAAGACGAGTTTTGTGTTTCGAAAATGCCAGCGAATAATTTTAAGAAAATTAATACAACAACAGTTTGTTGTTGTAATTGTCTGTGCATTTGTAAGGCTAATATTTTTAGGGGGAAATATATATTCAATACAATTAAATCCTTAGCAAACTTTTAATGCTTGCTTTAAGTAAATTGATCAATAAATTAATATAATATAATTATAACTATATAATATTATATAGCAGACAGATTTTCATAATATTTTACACTACATTTTAGATTAATATATAATGGCTATATATCAAATTTGATGAAAATCTGTTGAAAACTGGAAAATTTATAATTATTTTTCTTAAACTTCTCCGATTGTTCCTATTGCAGCTATATATACGTATATATATATAGTCCACCGATTCGCTATGCTCCGACTTATATACTAGTAAAATTATATAGAGGAATAACTCCATAGTTTCATTCCAATAGCATGCTCTTTGTTCCAAAACAAATCTCGCGTATCTGTGCATATGATTCCCAACTAGTTCTAACATCCCCGGAACGAAGTGACTGCTGCCGGCCAAGTCTTAGAAATGTGTTGTGTTACAAAAGTTGCAAGTCATTGTTTATTAGTGTTCAAAGTTAGTAACTGATCATACATACATACTTACTGGTTATAGATAATTACTGATCAGAGTTACTAAGTGGTAATAGATATTTACTGCTTCTAGTTAATTACTGATCATAGTTACTTAATGTTCATTGATATTATTGATCATAATTACTTACTGGTCATAGATACTTAGTGTTTAGAGTTAATTACTGATCAGTTACTCACTGGTCATAGATATTTGCTGATCATAGTTACTTAATGTTCATTGATACTTACTAATCATAGTTAATTACTGTTCAGAGTTACTTACTTTTCATAGATACTTACTGCTCATAATTAATTACTGATCATAGTTAATTGCTGACCATAGTTACTTAATCTTGATTGATACTTACTGAACTTATTTGTGTTGTATTAAAAAAGGACTATAATTTTATTAAATAACTATAATACGAGGACATTTCCGTTTCCTTTTATCATGTATTAAAAAAACTAGTTCATTATTCATAAAAGTTGTATAATTATAATATTTATAATAATACAATCTTCTTCTATTTAATGCTTACTGCTTTATGGTTGACTTTATGAACCGGATAATCCGTCCGTGCAAAATAAACCAATCATCCACCGTAATGTCTCACAGAGAGTCCTGAGATCCGCCAGGTGGATTACCTTTACCTACCATCCTTGTTGTCGTCATCAGGCACGTCCGCTTCGGTACGCCCATTCGGTTATATTAAAACCATTTTTCGCTTATTACCAAAAATTTAAATATTTTGAAAATAATAAACTGCGGGTGAGTTACTAAGTGGCAGCAGCGACGCCCACAAAAAAGCAAACACGGCAACGGCCTCACTCCCCCCGCACCAGAAATGGGATTGGGATTGGGATCGGGATTGGGTGGTGGTGGTGGTGGTGATGATGATGGTGGTATCGTCGTCATCAGCATTTGGTATCATCAAAATGATGCCAAGCCCGTGCCCGTGCTGGCCCACCTTTTGGCCCAAAACCCACAGCCATGGCCATTACTAATCCTCCCAGCCTCCTGTCCCCGGGAACACAACCGTGTGCTATCAGCGCGCCTCGTGTTGATTGTCGCGCATTGCCGTCAATGTTACCTTCTCTCTCTCTGCTGCTGCTTTTCCACCGCTTTCCACTCGTTTTCCTCTGGATTTTCCCCCCACGAAATTCATCCCAACATTCATTTGCCCCTTTCGCTTCCCACTTGCCTAATGAGCATCATGCGTTCGTAATAATGACAATGTTGGTCAGTGGCTCTTCTGGCCGAAAAGTTTTAAAGGGGAGAAAGGCTTTCAAAGAACCTGAAGAAATTTGTTAAAAATAGTTAATACATCTTTATAGAAATATAAATTTTATGTTATAGAAGCTCTTGTTGGAGAAAGATTTAATTATTGGTAAAGAAATCGTTGGAAAACTGTTGAAAGATGTATTAAAGAAACGTATTAAAGATATTACTGAAGAAATTCTTAAAGAAATTGTTGAAGAAAAATGTTGAAGAAATTGTTAGAGAAATTGTTGAACAAATTGTTGAAACGATTTTCGAAGAAATTAAGAAAGAATACATTGATAACATTTTTAGTTAAAGAATATGATAAGAAATGGTTGTTAAATGTATTGTAAAAAGTGTTGGAGAAATTGTAGTAGAAAAAGGAGTATGGTAGAAAGTGTTGTAGAAAATGTTGGAGAAGGGAGATATTATTACTAGCTAAAGATACTTTTATAAAACTGTTTATAAACTCTTGAATGATTTTATTAGCATTACAAATATTGTTGTACATTGCAAAATCCCATGAATAACTCCCCTGTTTGCGGAAAAAACCCCTTTAGCCTCCGTCCCTGTAAGAAATAATATTACTGATGGCCATGCTGCTGCTGCTACTTTTTGACGGTGGTAGGTAACCGTCTTCCCATAGTGTCATATTTTTATGATTTTTATGTTAATTCATAACCAGCGACGACGACGACGACGATGAGAACGACGTCGCGGTTGCCAAAGTCCTCACCCATCCCCAAGCCCATCATCATTGCAGACTCCTTTTCGCCAAATGCTTTTTAATCCTTTTAATGAAAATTAGTTCCTCTCAATAACATTTAATATATTTTCCTTTGCTTTCGGAGACTCTATCTCCCGTTCCCGTTGTTTTCACAGGCATTATCATAATTTCTGTTTGCAACCCTAAATCAACACTCCGACTCCCGACTTTCAGAGCTCAACTCGATAAAGGGTTACACCATCCCCCCCACCGCGTCGTTTGTGTCCATTTTCGGTGGTTCAGTGGTCCTTACTTTTACTGGTCGTAGTAGTAGGTGTTCAGGCGGATGGCTGCCTGCCTGGTGGGTTGTCTTCACTCACTCCGCTTTTTGACATATATCACAAGGTGATAACGAAGAACCCACCACCACCATCAACATCAGGAGCAGCACCCTTTTGCCCCATGCCTCTCTGACCTTTTGATTTCCTATGCAGCGTTAAATGGCATCCGCAGCACATCGGTCCTTGGTCCACGGTCCACGTGGCTTTTCCGCGGCGCTGCTGGAAAATTGAAAACCCAAAAGGCAGTAAAAATTAATGGGCGTAGCGAAGGTGTATGTTTTGCGCCATCATCCTGTCTAGAAGGATTCTTTGCCATCTCCTCGCTATCGATAATGTATGTCCCTGCTGCTATCCCTGCTGGAACTCTAAGAGATTGGATTATCACTGCAATTATATTAAAATTTAATTTTATTCAATTCTCTTGGTCTAGAAAAGTAAAGTAAGCAAGAAAAATTGGTAAAGAAATGATTGAAAATTTGCTTAAAGGAGTTTGTATTGTTTTTGGTTTTGAAATAGGTAACCAAGTCGATAAAAAATTATTTTAAAACATATTGATAAGGCTGTTGGGGAAAAGCCTTAAAAAATCGTTGAAGAAATTTGCCAAAGAAAGCCTTAAAAAAATTGCATAAGAAAATGTTACAGAAAATGACAAAATAAATACAAAAATATGTAAACAAAAGTGTTGAAGAAATTATTAAGGATAATGTTGTTCCTATGTTGTTGAAAAAATAATGATAGTTGTAGTTAAGTACATTGTTGAATATGTTTCTGAAGTAATTGTTGAGGAAAAAGTTGAATAAATTGTTGAACAAATCCTTAAAAACATATCTAGTTATACCTTAAAATTAACTCTTGGTAAATTTAAAAACTTAAATAAAAAACTCGCTCATTTAACATCATAAATTTATATTTATTGAAGTGCTTTCGTAATGACATTAATTTGCTCTTTACGGTACCCGAACGAAATGAATGAAATTACTTGATCACTTCTGATTTGGTTCTGATTATGAATGTGTCTCCAAATCTGTTGCAATATTCAATATGAGATGCAATTAGAAGGGAATAAGCATTATAGTCCTAGCTAAATACAATATGTGAGCACAATTACTATTTATCATCTGATGGCCTTATGCTCCAATGTTGATAATATAATTGATTCTTTTGGTTTTGCGGTTGATTTTGTTGATTTTGTTGTTGATGATTTTGATGCTTTTGTTGTTGTTGATTTTGATGCTTTTGTTGTTGTTGATTTTGCTGTTGTTGAGTTTGTTGTTGTTGTTTTTGATATTGTTGATTTTGCTGCTGCTGTTGCGGTTTTTGATATTGTTGATTTTGCTGTTGCGGTTTTTGATATTGTTGATTTTGCTGTTGCGGTTTTTGATATTGTTGATTTGCTGCTTTTGTTGATTTTGATATTGTTGATATTGTTGATTTTGTTGTTGTTGCCTTTGCTGCTGTTGTTGATTTTGATATTGTTGATTTTGCTGCTGCTGTTGCTGTGGTTGTTTCGGGGTGTTTTGCTGCTGTTGTAATTGCTGTAAGTTTTTCTGCGATTCTTGCTTTTGCTGCTGCTGCTGCTGCTGCTGCTGCTGCTGCTGCTGCGTATTTTTCTGTGTATTTTGCTGTAAGTTTTTCTGCCAATTGATCTGAGAGTTTTTCTCCGAGCGTGGCTGCTGCGAATTTGACTGTTGCATAGGATGAACCAGCTTCAATGTATTATGCTGCTGCTCCTCCCAGCCAGTTCGACAGCCTTGATCGGGCATATTGGTGAGGGCTGAACGACGATAGGCCTTCACGGCCTCCTCCCAGTCACGACCAAGGACTTCACGGGATACTTCATCTGGACTGCGCATAAATTGCTTACGCATCACAATCGGCTCCGTTTGACGGAAATTGGGCTTATAGGCATGCGGATCACGAGAATTGAGCCATATGGTATCGGTTTGACTACGATTGTGCCACATATTATCCTCGCGATTAATGCGACGCTCAAATGAACCCTGATTGGCGCCACGAGCATGGTAGCTAGCATCGCTCGTCACCATGGAGGTGGCACTGGCACGGGCTGGTGTCCCCTTGTTCGAGGATGATAATGATTTCATTGTGGTATCAGATCGATCTGAATCTGATCCGGCTGCACCATCTGAGCCTGTTCCACCAAATCGTCCACCTCTGGATCCGCGTCCGCCATTCGGGAAATCCCCCAAGGATTGGAGGCCATATTGCGTCGCAAATCACGCCAGTTGCCAACCAATCCAAGGAGATGGCCACGCACCATGGGGCCGACCATAAACGGAGAGGAACGTTGCATTATTAGCTGTGAAAAAACAAAAACAAGTATAACAAAACAAAAATAAAATAAATTTAACACCAAAACAAATAGAAAACTATAATTAAGAAAACCTTGAAAAGATATGGGTTACATATCGCGAAAATGCTTACCGTTAAAATGTGTATGTATATTTTATAAGGCTGAGCAAATTTGGAATTTTATTTTCTGTTTTTTGGTACTAGAAAATTTTGTCTCTGATGTTAACGGCTGAAATTTTCAATGTGGAATACAAATGTGGGTAAAACATTCAAAGTTCTAAAAAAGCAAAGTACAACTAAAATCAATGCCCACTTTAATCAGTAGTCTACTGAAAGTATGGCTATGAAATGAAACATAAAGGTTACTTTGTTTAAAATAAGTAAAACCAAACAAAATTTAGAGATATATTATTAATATAAAACCTTTTTCTTCTTTAAATAAAATTCAATGCAAATTGTGGTTGTATTGATGAATGTTCTAAAATGTAGGAAATCAGTGTTTCTTTCAAAACAAATTTAAACAATAGAGTACAAGAAAGGAAGCCATAGGATTATGGGTTCGAATGTGAAATCAATTAAAACTAAGCCAAAGATGCATAAATATTTTTTTAAAAGGCTTTTCTGTTCTGAATTTTATAAGGACTATGCTAGTATTGGCTTAAAAATGTTAATAATTATAAATTTATAATTTTCAACAATTTTAATGATTTTACGCCTTACAAATCTTTGGACAATTCACTTAAATATTTTGTCCCATTATTTTTTTCAAATGTTTTATCTTTTTTAGATTAAAATTTTGACTGCAAATATAAATATATATGACAATTGGCAATCAATTGGCTTCTTTGCTATGATAAACCTACAATAAAACTTAATATATGTATATTTTAGGTATATTATATCAATATTTTTATATGCTAATTTTCAGAGGTATATCAAAATTTTTCAAATATCATAACTAAGCCAAAAGGTGATTAATTTCCATTCGGACAACTGTTCTGTGCTAGTTTTTGTAATGCTAACAACTCTGCATCCCAAGTTTTAAAATTTTACAAATTTAAATTTTTGTCCAATTTTTCATTTTCAACTCCTTAAAAAATTTGGTAAAAAAATGGAAAAAAAAATTTCAAAATTTTTTTTCTACAAAACTTGGTCAGATCGATTCGGCTGTTGATGCTGATCAAGAATATATATGATTTATAGGGTCGGAAATGATTCCTTCACATCGTAAAAAGCTTTTGACTTAAATTATAATACTCTAAAATAGTATTCAAAATGTTTTTAAATGTACAAATAAAGGAACATAAAAAATAATCCTAAATCACTCTCTTAAAAGTATTTAAATGATATTTAAATATTTCTTGAAGCTCTTGTACTCCAACTTACAACAATGCAATAATTTAAAGGCGCCCAAAACATATTTATATATATATATATATATACACACATACCTCTCTGCATACATAATTATAGGGAGCAGGTCTTGAAGGATTTTGCAATTTTCTGGCAGCACATCCGTCTGCTGAAAAATCCAGGGAACGCAAAATAAAACCGAGTACGCCTCGACCATTAACTGCCTGAGCCCGGTACTTTCCAGCTTAAACGTTGACACTTGAACTCTTTTTGATTTCACCCATGTACATACATGGTGTGTGATTTTCCCTTCTTATTATTTCTTTTCTCCTTTTTTTGTTGTATTTTTTTTTTTTGTATTCTCCACTGAAACACAATGGCACAATTATGTTAAATATCGACAAGTGGCCTCTTCTTTTGTTGTGGGAAATATTAAACACTCGTCGTTCCAACAATCGAAATGCCCAGAAAGAGGTTGAGGTGAGAGGCACCTCAAAAGGGAGGGGTTCAAGGGGGCAGAATGTACACATGGGAAAACTATCGTAGATAATTATCGATTTATGATAATATATAAGAAATAATAATAATAAAGTAATGATAATAATACATAATAATAATAATAATTTCTTACATAAGTTACTTATTTCTTTTTTGAAAGAAATATAAGTTTTTGTAGTCAGAAAATTAATTTATATTTATCGATATAAATTCTATATTTCACTCACAACTTTATATAAATATTTTTCCATTCTTTTTTTAACAAAAATGAAATTAAAAATACAATGCAAGGACCAAACTATACAATACTATAGAATCTATATTAAAATCGAATTGTATTGCTAATATCGATATATTCATTGAACAATAGTATCGATAATTACTTTTCGCTAAACGAAAATATTTTGTCAAATCTTTATTTTAAATAATAATATTTTTTGGATTATTGCATTTAAATATAATTAATTATAATACATATATATATATATATATATATATATATATATATATATATATATATATATATATATATATATATATATATATATATATATTATGCTATATTTTATATTTAACGAATTAATAACTTTATATTTATCGATAATATCGTAATATTAAGAATTTATCAACAACAGTATTATAGGTAAATGCCAGTTCTATTTAAAAATATATACAGAACTTAATTATTTCATTAATTTTTAACCTCTTATAAATATCTATGTACAGTACATCCCTTAACCCTTTGACCCATCGATCTTTTTGGCCAAGATATTTACATGTACATATATACATATAACTTAATTATGCAATCTAAATGCATTGAATCACCTCAACCAAAATGACAATAATCATAATGACAGTCGTCGACCAGAGAGAGAGAGAGAGAGAGATAGAGAGCTCCACCGAAAAATGTTAACTCATTTGTTGTCCTTTTCTGCAGTTTTCAGGCACAAAACCGCACCAGCCAAAAGGCAGGTGGAAATCGTCCGTTCGTCCACCCTTCCTTATACCCATTATCCAAAATTCCCCCATAACCATTATCCCCACAGAAAGACAGTGAGAGAAAGAGAGATAGAGAGAGGGAGAGGGGGACAGAAAGAAACGACAAATCTTTGCAATTTATTTACGTGCCATTTCGTAGCGAAGATTTTCGTTAGATTCTACCCATTCGCCTGGCGGAATTCCAAGACAACTTCAGTCTACCAGCAAGGACTCCCCTTTTCCAGGAGGTACCCAAGCACAGGCACAGGCAGAGGCACAAGGAACAGGCACTACCTCCTTGGGTTTTTTGGCGACGACAAAAGTCATGACGCGCTGATGACGTTGCCAGTGGAAGGATTTAATGGCACATTAAGAATTTTATTACCGCACAACAACAGCACACAAAAAAATACAACAACAAAGCAAAAAAAAAAAAAACACCAACGAAGAAGCCATCGTCGCACCTTGGCTTCAACAATTTTTCGCGAGCGTACACACAAAATTTTTGACAGGCATTATTCGCCCATGAAAATCTTTCGGTGTCAACAGAAAATTTTCATTTTCATTTTGGGCTTTTTGATTTCTAAATACCCTTTCTAGAGGGTATTATCGTCTTTATTAATTAAATATCAATTTTAATTAGATTTGATCTTCTATCATTTTAAAATTCTAAACAGTTTTTATAATAAAAACTAGGCTGCCATCTGTTGTTGTTGTTGTTGAAAACATTGGTGAAAAAATTGTTGAGGATTTTGTTAAAGATGTGAAGATATTGTTGCATAAGTTATGAAACGAATTGTTTAAGAAATACATTTTTCTTTTTTAGATATTGTTGAACAAGTAATAAAAGAATTTGTCAAAGAAAGTTAATTGTTGGAATTGATTAAATGATTGTTGAAGAACTTTTTGCAGAACTTCTTGAATAACTTATTAAAGAAATCAATTAAGAAATGGTAGAGAAATTGTAGCTATTTTAAACATTCAAATTGTTGTTTAAAAAAACATTTAAAAAAATTTTATACAAATTTTTCTAGAAATTCTTAAAAAATGTTGTTACAATATTCTAAAAAAGTGGTAAAGTTTTATTGAAAATTAATGAAAAATTTAACAAAATGCCAGTTCTTAAAAGATAATTTCCCAGCAAAGAGTATGTAAAACTTCGGTCACCATTACATAGACTTGGTTCTTGTTTTTTTTTCAACTGTTCCTTTACTTTTGCCTAGATTTTTGGTCCTTGTCAGCAAAGGGTAGAGAGGAAGTTGGCTTTGAAAGTGAGGGGGGAACGAGTCACATCTTTGCTTCTTTATCCCCAAAAATTTTCACCGTCTCGCTGGCTAAGACGATTGTCATTATTACAAGTTTTGCATAAATGAATGAATGAATGACATTTATGTATTTCATTTAGACAGAGCCAAGAGGACTCCAGCTTAAGGACTCGCAAGAGAAGGTAAATGGGCAAAGGATGGCCATTTGATGCGAGACTTTTTCAAATCTTTATGTCCTTTGTTTGATCAACTTTCGCACGGCTAAGGAGCTGGAGGGAGGTAGGGAGGTAGGGAGGTAGGGTGAGGGGGTAAGCAGGTAAATTCACCGTGCCATTAACCCATTATGTGTCAGCGAAAATTTCAATCCAACCGCAATTTCATCTTGACATTTGTGCATAATTGAATTAATTCCGAAATGGAATTCAGACATTCAGAGAGACAAAGATGGGCGGAGGTATTTGAGAAAGAGCTGAAAGGGCTCTTTAAAATTGGAATTTTGGATAAACATAAAGATTTTATTAATTAACAATGCTTAAAATTCGATTCAAGGAGAGAATGTTATTTAATTAAAAACTACATTAAGGTGTTTAGTCATAAACAAAGTAGTTTAAATTGATTTTTTAGGATCTTAATATAAGTTGTGGAATATATTTGATATATGTTTTACTTTATAACATATTTTATCTCTACTTTTTAATATATTTCATATATTTTATTGGTATAAAATACAATCTTTATATGAAATTGTTACATTTATTTACCTCCTGCCCAAAAATTTAATGGAAAATATGGCTCTTTGGATAGCAACTGCTACCTGGTAAATCCCAAGTCTATATCCTCTATATCCCCCAACCAATTAAGGTCGATCCATGGAGAGAACATCTGGAATGGAATGCTTGACATTATAGAACCCACTTTTTTCCGGTTCTTTTCTGTTATTTATATGCAATTTAGCCATCTTCTTCTACCTTTTCTTCAACATTTGTTTGTGCAACCCTTTTTGGCACTCTCTCTCTCTCTCTCTCTTTCTTCCTAATTTGAATGCATTTAAAAATGTTAAAATATGACAATTACCAGAGGGAAGGTGGTTAAAAAAAAAGGCTTACCGAATTTATCTGCAAAGACACGCACTTTAGTTCGTCGAAAGGCGGCCTCGGTACACAAAAGATTTGTACGTGTTCCCACTTGATGAGGCCTCATCCCTGCTCCCCATTGATACCCCGCCTCTGGTAAATACT